ATTAGTACGCTTTTATTCGATACCGACCTGTCATTTGTACATACCGGCCTTACCCTGTGATTATTATATATCATGGGAGATCATTATGTGATACAATCCTATCTGTCATTACTCAATACTTTCTAAAGTTCATTACAGTGCATTATTCGATACCTCCTTTCGGCCATTTATTGATGCTACTTTTGTCAGTATTCGATACAACATTAACTAGTCATTTTTTCGAAGCTTTCAATTTTATTATCCTTTGTTCGATATAGTTATCACCGTTAAGATCGAAGATTCGATACCAGCTTATTATTTGATAAATATATCACATGCATTCAGTATTACATAATCACTAAGTGGCATCATTCGACTCTGGCAAATTTTGCTGCGTATATATATATATATAGTAACTTACAAGTCACAATCTTTGGCTGTTATCATTCAATATTAAAGATTTATTTTCATGTTGATTGCTTTTGGTTCATTGATATTGATATATTTTTATTTATGAACTAACAGAATGCTGCCATAGTGGGGAGCACAAGACGTGAAGTGAAGTGACAAAGGACCATCTATGTCATATACATTTATCAAGTATCTCGATTCATTTATATAGTCGGTGTACTAACAATTATATTATATTATGATTTTGCTAAAAATATTTTCTATCTGTCATTTTGTTCATTTTGAAAATTGTGCTTTCTAAGGGCTTACTGAAGTTTGAAACATTTCCTGATATTTCGACATTTAAAAGTTTGGCTAGATTTGTCTTTCACTTATTAAAGCGGCTTTTCTGTTTTTTCTGTTTACTGTTGTTTAACAAGACTTTTTAAGGTAATTGTTTCCCTTACTCAAGCAGTTATTTCGGGTTGCTGTACCTAATTTCATAAAAGAGGACTCCTCTAGTATTGTGACCGAGTGTTCTACCTTCAAAATCAACTGTGTTTTGTCTCTTTTAAGTCTTAAACATTTTACTTGGGAGGTAATGTTGTGTTATAAAAAATAAAAAAAACTTTTAGGCTAAACGATCAGTTAATGAGACTCGTGGAGCAAGGGCTGGAGATGAAGGGAAATGACTGAGGAAATGGCTTTTCAGAGAATACTTTACAAAGATTTATGGAACCTGGAGCCTTTATTCAAGTATTCCATTTATTATTACGTGTGAACTCTTCTTCTCTCCTGCCTATTCTCCGCTGATTTCTCTCTCTCTCTCTCTCTCCCTCTCTCTCTCTCTCTCTCTCTCTCTCTCTCTCTCTCTCTCTCTCTCTCTC